AAAATGTTTAAGGAAATGCTAAACTCATCCTATTTATTTCCCTTTGATCACTCAGTTATTTCTGAATGTAGTTCTGCATTTATTTTTCCTCTGTGCAACATGCTAATGAGAGGGTGTCAACCATGGACTTGCTCGGGTCATGTGATAGCTGGGGGCGTGGCTTTCCCGCTGACAGGAGATGCATGGTGTAAATCCAGTAAGGCCTACGTAAAGTCACTTTTTCCGTTTAACAGAGCAACATGCATAAAAAACTGAGCTGTATTGTCCGTACAGTATCTCTGACTTTACAAACGACCCAAAGAAATGGCCAGTGTCGTTTCCTGACGTCAATTTTTGTAACCCGATTGAGTCTCCAGCTAGAGACAACTGTAATATCAGTATCCCATGGTCATCGTGAGATGACTGGTATGAAGTGGTTTAATCGAGGAACAGACCGTTTTTTCCCATTAGTTATCAGAACAGAAAATACAGGCGACAAAAGTATGTTTATTAAGCAAATAACGGTTCAGTATTGCAATTAAGAGCTATGTAAACATTAATATTTTACATTGGCCACTTAAAATCTTTCATGATTTAGCTCTCTCATGATTATAACTACAAAACTAGCCTTATGAAAAAGTGTAAGATAATAATCAGTCACCTTGACTGATGAAGTTAATACGCATGCGCAGGCAAACGCTCAAGCGCGTCACACACGATCCGCCCACTCTTGCATAATTGACTCCCTCTCATTAGCATGTTGTGCAGAGGAAACAAAAGTGGAACTACATTCAGAAATAAATGAGTGATCAAAGGAAAATAGTTAGGATGAGTTTAGCATTTCCTTAAACATTTTCCATTTGCCCACCAATTTATATTATTTATTTGCCTACTTTCATTACATATATAATTATTTATTTATGTATTTAAACAAGAATATGTGCATTTATGCACACATTTATTTATTTATTTGTGTATTTATTTATTGTTTTTGCAGGTTTTGTCCTCCATATTCGTTTGACGGTCAGGAATATAAAAATGAACAAAATGCTGTCAATCTACAATTCTCCACCGTATTTACGATGCTCTGCGCAGTTCAGCTAACTCAAAAACTTGCGTACACGAGCTGAGACCAGACGTGAGATTTGATCGTAGCCACCGCTCACGTCCATATTGATAAATTCCAAATGTTGCGTTAAAACGACCGTACGCTCAATTTTCTGTCGTACGTTCGTTTCGTAAATGAGGCCCATTGAGTGTAAATTATTATATTTATTAATATTATTAAATGGATGCCGTCTTATTTGGACAAAGCCTTCCCTACACTTACCGCTAACAATATCCAATAACGCTGTATTATTAATGAGGCATTTTATTTCCACTTTTCAAATATTTCCTTTATTTTTTTTTTTAAATAATTGCCTTTCTGGCCTGATAGGAAAAAGGAGAAAGGAAAAGGAGAAGAACGAGTTTGGCAAAAGGCGGATTCAAACTCAGGTCCATTGAGTCAAAAGCAATCATTTCACGTCTTACTCACATACGCAATTGATACTACAGATAAACTACGGCCTTTGGCAATGCTATTTATCGCAGCCAGGCATTGGTGAGCAGAGCTCATGTAAATAGCTTCTGCCAACAAATTGGGCTATTTGTACCTAAATAAAGACGGTTTCTTTTTAGAGCTGCTTTACAACTGAATTTAATTCTGTTTGCATAATTGAAATATTATTTTTATTTATAGGTGTTATTTATATATTACTGCAATATTATTGTTATTTAATATCTTTGAAACAATCTGTACTGTATAAAATGCTATAGCGATAAAGGTGGCATCATTTGACTTGATCGGAAACATGCCGTTGAGATTGAGGTGCAATTTATGTCCTACCAACGATATTGTTTTTCGCGTATTTGAAGATGAAACATCACATGGAGCACGTTGCGTTGTGGGAAACAGTATCCCATGCAGTGTCTTCAGATGCATACATCAGATTTCAGCAAATGTAGTGGGTAATCCAGAACTTCCATGCATACAGAAAATTCACATAATATTCACAGCACACTGTACAGATAGCATACTGCAATATAGTAGGAGTTGTATGGTAGTATATCATTCCAAACACAGCTTCTTTACTGATTTCAGTGGACTTGAGTTATATTTAGCAGATTCTGGCAAATATAGTAGGTCATCTAGGTATTTCATGCATATAGAAAGTTTGCATACTGTGCACAGTATACATACTGGATACTGCAGAAATATGTGGGGAAGTGTGTCGGTGGTATTTTTTTAAATAAATAAATAAATGCATTAAAAATTCTGACGCTTTTTTTAGTATTGCATATATAACGCCAATTTTATGTACAGCATCTGTGATACGACTATGAAGAGTCATTTAAAGGGGTCATATGATGCTGCTAAAAAGAACATTATTTTGTGTATTTGGTGTAATGAAATGCGTTTATGCGGTTTAAAGTAAAAAAAACATTATTTTCCACATACTGTACATTATTGTTTCTCCTCTATGCCCCGCCTTTTTGAAACGCATTGATTTTTACAAAGCTCATCGGTCTGAAAAAGCGAGGTGTGCTCTGATTGGCCAGCTATCCAGTGCGTTGTGATTGGCCGAATACCTCAAGCGTGAGACGGAAATGTTACGCCCCTCACCATACTGTTGATGCTGTGTCCGGCCGAAGTGACGAGACATAAACATTAAAACCCATTACAAACTAGGCATTTGTTGCATCCAGTGGGGACACAATTACTGATTATAATGACTTATGCTGTCTTTTTATGCATTGCATTGCATCGCGCCGCATAACCATAAAACTCTGTCTGCATTTGTGATCGGAGAAATGACAAACAACAAGTGCTACTGCCCAAAACTCGCGTTTGAATCATCAGTGGCAACGAAAAACACAGCGGCCTACCGTGAGGGGAAGCCCCGGCTTAGCGTGTACTGAGGCCGGGATAGAGTGAGCTGAGGTGGGTTGGACTCCGCTCTGTCCACGGTGAAAGTTGATGTATTTCCTCAGCGACCAGCACAGATAAGCTCTAGGCTTGATGAAGCGGATATCGTCCTCTTTTGGAAGACCAAACAAAGTAGTTTCGCTTTCACAACGAAGCACACAGCGTCTTCAGGACATGGCTGCAGCATCAACAATACTACAGTGAGACTAAAAGTTACGCCTTCTTTCTTTGCGTGAACATTTGGGCGGCGTTATGCAAATCTTCCCAGATCGTGGCATAGGTATGTGGGGGCGTGTTAGAACGAGCTGTTTTAGGTAGGCGTGGTTAACTCTTAACTTTTATAAAGAATATCTCTTTGGTTTTGAGACTTTAGTCTTTGCAACTTTTCAGATCTTCTTTATGCACCAAGAGCTTGTAACACTCCAAAGAGAAAGGAAAAATTGAAATCGTATCATATGACCCCTTTAAACGTCTGGGTAAGAACATATTTTGCAAGAATTGTTTTACAAATATTTATTATCTAATCAGCTGGAAAAAATATTTCCAATATCTTCCTCAGAAATACTAAAAGAATCATTCCTTTAGGAAACCAGAATCACTGAGAGGAATCTAATTATTCAATTCCTTTACAATTCCAATGCCTAGTTAATATAGCTGTGCTTAGCTGCATGCCCAGTGGCACACAATATATCATGCCTGCTGATGGGCGAGAAAGAAATAATATAAGATCATCCTCTGACAGCCGCAGATGCCAATGTATTCCATGCAGGAAGCAGAAAGACCCCCTCTCAGTCATTTGAATTAATGCATTTTGAAATCTGCTTTCTGCCAAGAGTTTCATGTTTCTAACCAAGCCTGACAAATCCTGATCAGTGAAACCCAAGAGACTCTGAGCAACGACTAATAACTGTAATGAGATTAAATTGGGACTGTAAAAAAATCTGCCTAGTGCTGATTTGAAGATAACAGAGAGTGAGATCTAATGAGTCAGCATGTTCTTTGATGCCAACCATTTCACAGAATGGATTTTGTAACAGTGTGCGATAGCTTACCTCTCTGTGATGGTCTCCCTCAGACCGCTGGTGACACCCTTCATGACGGTGCTTGCTTTGGGAGTGAGAACCACTTGGGACACAAAAAAGGTGCCCTTACGTCTCCGATCCTTTACTGAGGCTTGAAGGAACTGAATGAGCTTCTCAGGATCTGTGGTATTGGCCCAAGGAGAGGGCATCATCTGACCAGGCCACAGGAAAGGAACCTCCAGAGCCATGGGATTGTGATAGAAGACCAGCACCTGATACTCTTTCTCCCAGAGGTACTTCAGGCTTACCTCTTGAGCAAACACTACTGGACAGAGTCGGTCTCCGAAGATGGTGCGCAGCATCTGGACCAGCTTCTCGTGATGGAGGTTCTGTACGCCGTAGAAGTGGTTGAAGTCCAGGAACACGACCTCGCGAGCATGGGAGGCCAGGAAGGTGCTGATCTGCTCCAGGCCTTCACGTACGGTGGCGCTGAACAGGCCGTGTGCAAAGTAGAGCTCGTTGTCGGGGTCTCTGGGTTTGGTGGATATGCGGAGACGTCTGGGTAAGAACATATTTTGCAAGAATTGTTTTACAAATATTTATTATCTAATCAGCTGGAAAAAAAGATATTTTCCAAATATTTCTTCCTCAGAAATACTAAAAGAATCATTCCTTTAGGAAACCAGAATCACTGAGAGGAATCTAATTATTCAATTCCTTTACAATTCCAATGCCTAGTTAATATAGCTGTGCTTAGCTGCATGCCCAGTGGCACACAATATATCATGCCTGCTGATGGGCGAGAAAGAAATAATATAAGATCATCCTCTGACAGCCGCAGATGCCAATGTATTCCATGCAGGAAGCAGAAAGACCCCCTCTCAGTCATTTGAATTAATGCATTTTGAAATCTGCTTTCTGCCAAGAGTTTCATGTTTCTAACCAAGCCTGACAAATCCTGATCAGTGAAACCCAAGAGACTCTGAGCAACGACTAATAACTGTAATGAGATTAAATTGGGACTGTAAAAAAATCTGCCTAGTGCTGATTTGAAGATAACAGAGAGTGAGATCTAATGAGTCAGCATGTTCTTTGATGCCAACCATTTCACAGAATGGATTTTGTAACAGTGTGCGATAGCTTACCTCTCTGTGATGGTCTCCCTCAGACCGCTGGTGACACCCTTCATGACGGTGCTTGCTTTGGGAGTGAGAACCACTTGGGACACAAAAAAGGTGCCCTTACGTCTCCGATCCTTTACTGAGGCTTGAAGGAACTGAATGAGCTTCTCAGGATCTGTGGTATTGGCCCAAGGAGAGGGCATCATCTGACCAGGCCACAGGAAAGGAACCTCCAGAGCCATGGGATTGTGATAGAAGACCAGCACCTGATACTCTTTCTCCCAGAGGTACTTCAGGCTTACCTCTTGAGCAAACACTACTGGACAGAGTCGGTCTCCGAAGATGGTGCGCAGCATCTGGACCAGCTTCTCGTGATGGAGGTTCTGTACGCCGTAGAAGTGGTTGAAGTCCAGGAACACGACCTCGCGAGCATGGGAGGCCAGGAAGGTGCTGATCTGCTCCAGGCCTTCACGTACGGTGGCGCTGAACAGGCCGTGTGCAAAGTAGAGCTCGTTGTCGGGGTCTCTGGGTTTGGTGGATATGCGGAGGTCAAAGAAGCGGATGCCCGCCTCCAGCTGGCTGGTGAAGTTCATGGTCTGTGTCGCCAACCACTTCCTCATCAGCTTCTTGGCCACCGTGCCAAACACAGAGACAAAGTTCTGCACGGTCTCAGGCTGCTCCGGCCCAACTGGTGAGGCTTCGTCGATGTAAAAACTAAAGGAGTCGTGGGAACCTGGATGAGAAGATTTCTGATTTAGAGATATTTATTTAGAGAGAACATAAAAATTATGATGGCATCTGAGTGAACAAATGCAATTTTCTAAATGCCAAAAATTTTATAATGTAATATAATATAACATTCAAACATTGACATAACTGAATACTTTTATTCAGCAAGGATGCATTAAATCAAAGGTGACAGTAAAGACATTTATAATGTTGCAAATTATTTTATTTCAAATAAATGCTGTTCTTCTGAACTTTCTATTCATCAAAGAATCCTGAAAAAAAGTATCATGGTTTCCATAACTGTTGATAAACATTGATAAAATGTTTCTTGAACAGCAATTCGGCATATTAAAATGATTTCTGAAGGATCATGTGACACTGAAGCCTGGCATAATGGCTGCTGAAAATTCAGCTTTGCCATCACGGGAATAAATTATATTTAAAAATATAGTAAAATAGAAAACCGTTATTTTATATTGTAAAAATATTTAATAATATTACTGGCAGTACTGTATTTTTGATCACTGAGTCCTTGGTGCCCATAACATAAAAACATTTAAAAAAAAATCTTATTTACCCCAAACTTTTGATAAATGTATAGATATTTATTTAGAGAGAGAACATAAAAATTATGATGGCATCTGAGTGAACAAATGCAATTTTCTAAATGCCAAAAATTTTATAATGTAATATAATATAACATTCAAACATTGACATAACTGAATACTTTTATTCAGCAAGGATGCACTAAATCAAAGGTGACAGTAAAGACATTTATAATGTTGCAAATTATTTTATTTCAAATAAATGCTGTTCTTCTGAACTTTCTATTCATCAAAGAATCCTGAAAAAAAGTATCATGGTTTCCATAACTGTTGATAAACATTGATAAAATGTTTCTTGAACAGCAATTCGGCATATTAAAATGATTTCTGAAGGATCATGTGACACTGAAGCCTGGCATAATGGCTGCTGAAAATTCAGCTTTGCCATCACGGGAATAAATTATATTTAAAAATATAGTAAAATAGAAAACCGTTATTTTATATTGTAAAAATATTTAATAATATTACTGGCAGTACTGTATTTTTGATCACTGAGTCCTTGGTGCCCATAACATAAAAACATTTAAAAAAAAATCTTATTTACCCCAAACTTTTGATAAATGTATTGGTAGTGTATATTGGTGGTGTACATACATTTAATAATAAAGATTTATTCTGTGGATCTATTTAAGTAATTTAATTAAAGTTTATATTTAACTATATTTTGACTAAATATTTTTAAATTTAAGAATGAAATAAAAACTGATATTTAAGTTAAGTTATAGAGAGCAGCTTTTCATCGACACAGAATATTCTGGCAGGCATGTCCCTGAAAATATTCAGTTTTGGCTCCTTGCTGGTAAAGTTATAGAACGGTCCTGCTTTATGATCTTGTAGACTTCACAGACATGCACAAGACTTTGAATGCACATTAAATGTGCCAAATGGGACAGGGCCATCTGCTCTAAAAATTATGAGAACAATGATTTTAAGGTAACTTGCTCTGAAAAAGACTTAAATCCAATACTGCCTGACAATCTGCAGTACTTTTGTATATAAGTATACATATAATGTATACACAATACATATAATGGCTGTTGTAATGGTTAAATGGAATAATGCAATAGCCAACACTTGCATCCAGACTGCAGCAGGAGGAAAAGCGTTGCCAGGGCCTACATGATAATAACATGGTGTTCACAAGCACGCTTTCAATTTAAAGACAGAGCAAAGCCAGGTGCTATGTTTGATCTCCAAAAATCAAAACAACTATTTAAATAGATGCATTGCTAATGTAATTAAATGAAAGCATTAATCAGTCTATAACCGGTGCGTGTGAGAGAGACTCTCAGAATATTATTTTTGATGAATAAACAATGCATCTCTGCATCTGAATGCAGCACTGTAGCCATCAACATTCACCATGGGAAAGGACCATTAGGCAAACAGCTGTCTGCTTGGCAAAGACATCTCAGCAAACACCACAACACCAAAACCAGTCGAAATGATGGAAGCATTAGATGCTGCTTTTAACAAATCAATGAGAAAGAAAGAAAGAAAGAAAGAAAGAAAGAAAGAAAGAACGAATTACAACCTTCAGAGATTTGCTACAGTTTTCCCAGTTCAATGACAATCTGTCTCTATTATGACAATATTGTGTGTCATATATCTAATGAATGTTCATTAAACAGATCAGCCTGGAAATATGCAGATTCTGTTGCTGTTACCTCCTGTGTCAAATTCAGATTAATGAGTAACAGTATATGTCTCATTTCCCTCCTTTACATAGGTAATGCCTTCTGGTACGTGGAAACGGAGGGAAGTCTCCACTAACACAATTTCCATGTGCATTTTATTGAATCAGAGACTGTGAAGGGTAAGATATGAGCATAATTGTAAATCAGTTTTTATGGAAACAGCACTTTACATTACTATTTAAACACGTTTTCTTATTTATTGCCATCCTCTATTATTACATTTTTTAAAAATTATTAATAACTACTTGTTATTTCTCCTTACGGTGTTGTGCAAAACTTAAAGAAAAAGGAAAGTGAACTTACACCGAAGCTTTATTGTTTAACAGAAGAAAACCATGTCAAATTCAACAGGTCCGAACAACTTCAGCTCCATGAGGACACCTTTATTTGGCGTTCTAATAGCTCCTCGGCTAAATGCAAAGGAGTATCTCCTTGTTATGAGATCCTTGCTTTGAGATGCACTGAGCTGATATTAGGAAGGTTTGAGAAATTATTTCTGGGAAAATGGACAATTTAACAAAATGAAAGCAACTGACTGGGCTCATGTTTCACCGCTGAGAGGAGGCACATTAGAGTAGATTAAAGACTCATTTTTGTTTTTGAAACATGCAATCTAGCGATTTATCCAGAGACAATACATTTTGTTGTTCAAAGAAGTCACAGACCTGACTAGAGTAAAATAGATAAAAAGCTAATTATATTATCACACAAACAGAAAATATATCAATTAAAATAATTGTAATATAAACATATATTAATATTAACATAAATAAATATAAAATATTACAAAATAATATTAATTACTATTAGAATTAATAATAATTATTATTATTAACATACATCGGATAGTAACAGTTATGACACAAAACACCTGTTCATAGCATCACTGAACAGAACCTAGATGAGAAAGTGCTGCAGTGTTTACATCATAAGCCTTTATCTTTTGATTTAATGTGTTTTTGTTCATATACTGTACATATGGTGAATGAAGGCTAGCATTAATTATTTTCCAATGTGATCTTTCAAAATCTCCATGGGTTACCTGTCCAACATCACATAATGCAGCTCAGAGACATGCTGGTCATACTAAAAAACAAACCAGCAACAGCAAAACATACAGCAGATTCGATTCAAGGGTTTACGTGAACCCTTAGGCTGCTGAGTGATGATTTAACTACTTATCACAAACGATTGACATGTCTCTGTCAACCACAGGGGACGGCCTCTCAGTTCAGCAGGAAAAAAGTCATCATTACAGGAAAACTGTGCAATTTCATGTATGATCACTTAATCTTTTCCATTTATCTTGTTTATTGAGACATGGCAGGCTAAAAATCCTCTCTTTTGGGTCTAAAGTGCAGGATTAATGGATGAACAGTTGGATGTATAGAAGGATCTAAAGATGAATCAGACAAGAACAAACAGTGCCTTCAAGATTTGAATCCATTACGATTTTTTATGCCTCTAGTGCAACTTTAAGTAATTTAAATCATTTTGTATGTGGCCATGTGTGTGTGATCTGTCAGAAAATAAATAAATAATTCCAACACTTCACCACAGGAAACATTTTGGGTAGGCATTTTTGACATCAAAGCAATGCAATGCTCTACTATGAAGAAAAATTTGTGATAGGAGAAGAGAAAAATGTGTAATTAAAATAATTTTCAGAGAACAATTACATGCAACAAAGATGTGCCTCGATTTTTTTGCTTTCCAACGGAGCATGTACAATCAGTCCAAGTGTTTAGCCCATAACTGGCCACGGGTGCCGTTCATGGACAGGAAAAAGACTTGGCATAGCAGATGAGTTTCTAATGGCACTCTCCTGCTGCCTCAAGGTCAAATGGCTAGACTGGGCAAGAGCATTTCTAACATACCACTGCAGTTAGATTACGAACCCTCTGTGAAGCTCATCAACAAAAAGCTCTGGTAAATGGCACAATCCCACTTAGTCTTCATTAGTGAATAGGTGGGATTACATACGCTACCATGTATGAAAAATAGGGCATGATAACTCCAGTTGTGCCCTGCAAACATCTTTACTGTTCATTCAACAAAAAATTGTTTGTGAAGCTTTATTTTTAAATATATTATATTATTTATAAACAATATATAAACTGCAATAAAAAATTCCAATGTCTTTGAAATAGACATTTTTTAATTTGCAATAATACAAGTAATACATAGATAGTATAAATCCATAAAAGCTTTATGCACAATCATTTTTCAAAGAAAATTATGGAATATGATGCAAAACATTACTGACTGGTTTGTAATTTTTAACCTATTCTTACTGATGCTTTTAACACTATCACTCACTATAATTTTAACAAGAGAATCAGAATCTAGATACAGTACAGTTCAAAAGTTTGGGGTCATAAAGACTTTTTTTTATGTTTATTATTATTTTAACAATAACTTAACTGATAAAGACAGACCTACTCTGAACTATGATGTTGTTAATTAACCCTTTGCAAAGACCTGCCCCCCTTCGCTACTGTTCCCATGTCTGACAAGCCACGGTGCTCTCACTCCACACATCATGTTCTCATGCAGTGAAAACGACATCGTGGAGCAAAGAGGAGACTGACAACGCACCAACAGACAAGACAGAGCAGGTTATTTTTAGTATGAAACAAATCTCAGCTTTCAATTTATTTTCAAATTTAACAATAAATACCATTTTGTGGCTCTTTAATGTGTCATGACAGATCGCAGTAGCTCCTCGTTACAAGCAGCACGTGAACCGATCTTCTCTTGCTCTTTACTAGTTATAGCACGAAATAAACATAACTGAACATCAGAAGATATTTTGTTTCAACCACAGAAACACGTCAATACACACCATTTTTCAAGTTAAAGTCTAGTCCATCGACGTTAATCTACTCTCCTTTCTGTTTTTTTTTTTTTTGGACAAAATGGCAGATTCGGCATCATGATTGATCAGATCGCCTGTTAATCAAGCTTCCTGCAAAGGGTCAATTGATGGTATATGCTTTTGTCAATACCATCATTAATTAATACTTTTATTCAGTATGAATACATTAAATTGGTCAAACGTTACAGTAAATATATTTACAATGTTACAAAAGATTTATTTTTTTTAATTAAAAGCTGCTCTTTTGAACTAACAATTTTTGAAAGAATCCTGAAAAAAGTATCATGGTTTCCACAAAAATGTTAAGCAGCACAACTGTTTTATCATTGATAATAATAATAAATGTTTCTTGAGCCGCAAATCAGCATATTAGAATGATTTTTGAAGGATCATGTGACACTGAAGACTAATGTGTGACACTAATAATGCTGAAAATTCAGCTTCTCCATCACAGGAATAAATGACATTTAATGATTTAGTTATTTTAAATAAGCGCATAAAAGACTTCTTTAGTAAACACTAAAAAAATCTTACAACTTGTGAACAGTAGTGTAATGTTGCTTTTAATCAGCAAAATGTCCCATGTTAAATACATTGCATAAAATAAAATGTTTATGCTTGTATGGCATAAATACTGTTTTTCTGTTTCTTCAGTGTCGTCATTGGCTGCCACTCAAATAGCTGATTACATACTAAATATGATTAAGGGGCAGAGACACATTCCCTTATGAGAGTCGCGGCATGAATGGCTTTGGTTTATGGTTTAATGGTTTTTGGCGGTTTATAGCTCTCCATAAACATCTAATAAGACCAGGTTCCATGTCTGTCTCTGAACTGCAACACCCTGCGTACCTTCAAGGCGCAGGTAGCTGATAAAGCAGCGGTGTCCTGCTTATTCTGTGGGCCTGTCACTTCAGCAATGACACAATTCCTCTGCCCCTGTCCTGCTGCCTGTGCTTGTGACAATGCCAACTGTAACAGGGTGACGACCTCATCAAGCCAGCCATCCAGCAGAGCACAGTAGTGTAAGACAAGCCACACAAAAGCCTGCCTCTGCAAAAAAAAAAAGCATTTCTCTAAGATGCCTATTGTTTGCCAATAGGAGAATGATTCACGTTTTTGCAAGTGTGTATGTGGAGGACGACAAGCCGACCTCCAAAATACTGCCAATACTGATGCTGCAAGTAAACAATGTTGAGTTGCAACAGGAGGATCAGTCGAATCTTTAATCTTAGAGAGAGGTTTGAGAGGCTACAATGATTTCTTGAGCCTCTTAATTTGGAATGACTATAAAAAGAGTTCCGATAGAGGAAATAAAAGACACACTAGATTCTCTTAGCGCAAGCATTGACCTTCACACCGCAGGAGGTGGCAGAGTCAGTTTTTGAGTGGCAG